AGGGGCGGGCCAAAAGCCAGCTCTAGAGGGGGCGGGCCAAAAGCCGGCTCTAGAGGGGGGGGGGTATATTTTGCTTATTGTCTAATAATTCCATGACAAGACTCAAACCAACAGTGACATTTATCTTCCTTTCTTTTAAATTCCAGCCAGGAATAAAAGCAAGAATAGAATTTGCTTAACATACACTTGAGGGAAGATGACATGTTAGGAGTGTAGGACTTAGCCCCTGTTCGTTACAGTCCTCCACCTTCCCACCAGGTACCGGATAGATGTTTGTCCAGCCATGCTTCTCTTTCTGCTTTTTAAGAAAGATGAATCTGTTCATGCACATCTGGGTTTGCCTTAAACTCCTGGCTGTTGTGAACTTTGTATACCCCTTTCTCTTTCTGGCCTTCACCTTCTCTCTGTCTTGCTCTTCTTCAGGTGTGGAAAGCTCGTCTGAGTGGTTATGAAGAAGCTCTGAAGTTGTTCCAGAGGATAACGGATGAGAAGAGTCCAGAGTGGGGGAAGTACCTGGGACTGATGAGGAAGTTTGTTACTGACTCGAATGCTGTGGCTCAGCTTAAAGGCCTGGAGGCTGCCTTGGCCTTCATTGAGAATGCCCATGTAGCTGGCAAGTAAGTGATGTTCCAAAGGAATTTCATCTGGGGTCTGTGTTGTTTAAGGTACTGGAGAGACTATCAAATACAGTACAGATGCATTCAAAGTAGTGGTGTAACGGACCACGGTTGATCAGTATGGATCACCCCACACGGTTCAGCACTCGCGTGAACTGCCGATTAATTACAGTTTAACGTTAATCACCGCAGTGTGAAATAAAGTTTTACTGAGTGTCATTATCTGCCAATATTCAGTAAAATATGCGATCAGGACATCTGCGTTTATGCTTTTCTAGTCGCTAAACTCTCACGATGTTACAATGTAAACGACTAATCTGTTTAAACTGACCGGAGGAGAACGAAGGTTCTGTTCACTTACATTATGATGTGTTCGGGATGTTTTCACAACAACATGAATAGATATTGGAGATGAATTATGAGCTGTCTACACTAGCTCTAAGTAGATTATAATACATCATTAAACTACTAATGACAAGATCTGTTTTTATCAATGAAAATACAATCTTGTGTTTTTATGAGGGGGAAAAAACACTAAGTAAAGTAAAAGGATAGCCTTTTTAGAATTATTATTTTTAGTAGTTTACAGATTTCAGAGTGGTTAAAATAGTGTGGTTCCTTGTAAACCAGCTGCTATCATCGAACAACAATATGGATCATCAACTATTGGCAATTAGTATCGGCAACAAAATAAAACACGATCGGGGATCTCTAAAAGTTCAATTTCGCTTTTTTTTTTTTTTTGGTTCGTTCTGATTCCATCTTTGATCCCAACTGTGAGTGTTATGATCCATTGCACCACTAATTAACAGATCATTTTTTTTAAAGAACACTGCAGTTTGTAACAGACAGGAATTTACAGCTCTGGGAAGTTCTCACGGCTTTAACTACTTTAACTTTTGGTGTGGCGACTGTGAGGTCAATGGTAGAAATGCGGTGTTCAGGTTCCAAGTAAAGTAATCGCTAGAAATGTGAATTTGCATGTATTTGAGAGGCCAACGCAGTGCCTTTATGGATAATGTTGAATTTTCTAGACGACTCTGCGTTGCAGTTGAGAGGGCAGCGTTTTTTCAAATGGGGCTTAAGTCGTTTTTACATACAGACGTTGGTACAACTGTTGGCTACTTCAATATATATTTACTTTTGAGCCTCTGAACATGGGGATGACTGTGTAGAAATGGCTGTAATTCCTAAACGGTTATTGTGATATTTTAGTTTTATCCATTGAATTAAAGCTGAAAGTCTTCACTTCAAACACATATTGACTGATTAGTGTCA